TCTCGTTCAATCCGCCATCTCCGAGGTCAGGCCGAAGCCCGCCTGCTTGCTCTCCGGCTCGGGGGCGCGGTGACCGATTAACCCATTAAGTGCATCAATCGCATCTGCCAATAGCATGGGAAGTACCTCGCGCGATCGATCCCGACGCCGATGCCCCTTGGTTCGGCCGGCCCGGACAGCAGGGTCACATGCAAGGCTGGCAGCGGGCAGAGCCGCCGCCGCCGCTTGTCGCCCGCCAGACGCGGCCCGTCCCAGACGCCCTGGGGGCGCTGCGGGGGCCCCTGAAGCGGCAGCGCGTGAGCGGGCAGATGTTGGATATCGTGATCGGGCATTGCACGCTTGCGGTCCTCGTCCGCAGAGAGAGCTTCGTGCTTCAGCACTGTGTGCAGCTACATGCGGAAACACCTACTACGAGGCGTCGTAGCTCTGGCCTAGCGTCAGGCAGAAGCTCACCTGCTTCCTCGGGCTGCTTGTGACCCTCGCGGCCTCTTGGGAGCTGCGGTGGAACGACGTCGCCTGCGCCGCCGACGCCTGCGTGGAGGGCTTTGGCGCGTGCCTGCGCGCGCTCGGCTCCGAGCGCACCTCGCGCTGCGGCCGCGCGCGTGAGCGGGGCCGTCTCCGCCATCCTGGACGCGCTCGGGCCCGAGAGGCGGCGCTGCGAGATGCGCTTCCAGCTGCTGACCTGCCAGGGCTGGAGCAGCTGGGCGCGGCCGGGGCCTGCGGGCTCGAGACGGCGGGCGAGTCCGAGGAGATCCTTGCTGCGGACCTCGACGAGGATGCATGGCGCGCGCGGGGCGGTTGGCCCTTCCGCCGCGATGAAAACATTGTCTTGCTTGAGGCTCGTGATCGTGCCCTCCTCGCCGGGGTCGAGCGCGTCCTTCGCGCTAAACCAGGTCGCAGCATGAGGCAGCCCCTCTTTTGCGATAACCTTGCTCTCGTTCTTTGTCGCGGCAGATATCGCACGGGGAATTGCAGACTTTCGCTGGCATTGAAAAGACGCTCCTGCAATTGCCTCGCCAGGAAAGTCCGCGTCACAGGCAGATGTATTCCGTCTGAGCTCAACCCCGCGGACTGGCCGTCTCTTCTGTTTCGTGCCGAGCCCCCCTCGGGGAGGTCCGCGGGCCCACGACGAGCCCTGGCGAGGTTGTTTTTGACAGGGCCTCTCGTTGGCCCTCGCGTTTCATGTCTGGCCATGGCACCGTAGAAGACAATGGGGACATGGAGAAGGGGGGCCTCCGACTCGGACCCCCCGAGACACGGCGCGCCCGAGAGGCGTGCATGAACATTCTTTGACCTTGCTAACCGTGGTCGCGTGAGCCCCAGGAACGCCCGGGTCTTTCGGCTCTGCGATGTTCTGGAACCGCGCCCTGATGGCAATGAGGTAATACCCCCGCAGCGACATCCTACCGCAGCCTTTTTGGACCCGAATTCCTTTGAGTCTCGGGGCCATTGCTCGGCATGTCGGCGGCCCGCGGCGCATGGGGGCCGCAGGAGTTGTCGGGGTAGGCCCGCGCCAGGTCGTTCGCCGCGAGAAGGAGTTGCTGCGCGCCGTGGCCCTGTCATCTGCCTCGCGGAGCTCCTCGCAGCCGACGGTTCCGCGGGCTCGGACCTTGGCGTGCGCCTGTGCCGCGCGGCGCCGCGAGGCAAGCCGCGGGCTGCCGAGGCGCCGCAGTGCCCGCGGTGCCCCCCCGGCCTCGACGTCGGGCCGAGCAACGCCCAGACTGCGGGTACCCCACGGCGCCCCAAGGCGCGGCACGGGCGGCGCGGCGCTGAGGCCGAGCGCGCGGTCAGACCCTGTTCGAGCGAGTCCGGCGGCAACGGCGGCGTGCCCGCTTGCGCCCGCGGGCTAGAACGGCGCGGGAAGCGGCGGCTGGGGCGCTGGCTGCAGGAGGAGCTGACGGAGCGGGACACGCACTTGCATGGGGTCAGCGCGCTGGGGCAGCGTACCGCACGAGCTCGGACCGACGGCCGCTATGTGAGGGAGCTCGAGGTCCCCGCGAACTGGTCGGTGGTGGAGCGAGCTCAGGACATCGGCCCCGACGGTTTGGACGCTCTGCTTGCGCTGCCCGTGCTGCCACAGTTCGACAAGGCCGGATGCTTTGGGCTACCGCGGAGTTGGCGGGCGCTGACGGGCTAGGCGCGCGTGATGTCGCCCCCAGCTCGCGTGCCGCAGGCCTTTCCCATCTGGGCGGGCATCGTCAACGGGCTCGTCATCGGCGTGCAGCTGGGAATGTTTTTCGTGGTGCTGATCATGTGGAGCATGAGCATGTATTGCCGCCCAGTGAGCCTCCTGGCGATGCGGCCAGAGGCCCTGGCCCGCCCGAGCTCGGCTTACAGCCATCGCGAGGCGAATCTCGGCGGCAAGGGCGGCTTCCCCAGCGAGGTAGACGGGTTCGACCAGAGCTGCGCGTTGGACCACGGTTTCTGGAGGCCGCTACGAGGGCTGCTGGAGTCGCGCAAGGCTTGCGTGACGAAAACGCCGCTGCGGGCCCCCAGCTACTCAGAGCTGGCGAAGTCCTTCAGCGCGGCCACCTCGCGCCTTCAGATCGACGTCGCGCCGCGTCATGCCCGCCATCCAG